TTGTTTGTTCCAAGATCAGCGGGATTGAACTGAAGTTTCAGAGGTGAGGCACAACCTTCCAGGCGACCTCCCCCGGCAGCCTAAGTTTCACTTAAAACACATTAAGGTAGGTTTGAGGCAATCCTTTAAGGTCAGTTGAACTTTCACTGGAAAATACGAGTGCTGGCAAGTATATGCAATATGTAATGCAAAATGTTTAGGGTGTGGGGAAGAAGTGTAAAGGAGCCATACCACAGTGATGAGCTTGGCTAGAAAAGAGACATGAAACAAGTTCCTTAGCAAAAACACCCTCAGAGATGGGTGAAGAATTTAGGGGGGTTGGTAGAATGTTTTTGTTACCCCCAAGGGGCAAAACAGGAGATCAAAGCCTGAATTCACTTAAGAATGCTTGCTTTGAAATGTATCTATAAATTATAGCACGTACTGCTGGCATCTATTGTAGTCTTTGGTATTTACTTGAGTGTATAACGTGAGATTCACAGTGCCCTGAATTTGCTTGTTGGTGTGTAAAAGGGTGTTGGTGTAAAAATATATTGGTGTGTAAAGCACGTTCACGAAGGCAACATTTCAGGTTCTCAAGTTTCCTAATAGTGTTTTTGCCTCTTCCCTGTTTTCCCGTGGTCTTTGTGCCTCACCCCTGTAATCCTGTGTCCCAGCCACCGACCCACTAGCTAACGGGGGAGTGATTCCTTGCGGGGTTGCTGGTAGGTTTTAGAGCTCTACCTGCCTCCTTGCCACCTCTCGGCGTTATTAAGGTGCCTGTCAGGGCTGTTATCTTCTTGGTCAGGGCAGAATGGGATGTTGCTCCCAGGGGAATCCACAGCTGTTACCCCTCAGTCAGCAAAGTAGCTGCCGAGGCATGTCATCCTTTGCTTTTAACTCCCGAATCAGTCTCCCCATTTCATAGCTCATCTGGAGGAGCAAGAGACCCGACTTCTTGGCATGGCGGAGCAGCACCAACAGGCTTTGTCCTAAGCTTTGCGCTCCAGGCTCTTTCTTCCTCATGAGTGTATAGTTTTAAGCGTTGCATTTTAGACACCTCATTTGCTTTGCTGCCCAACAGAGATTATGTCGGGGTTTTGGCACAATTGGATTAAACTAGCAGACCTGGATAACTTCCATTGGCATTTCAGGAGATTTGCTGTAAGGCAAACCTGTGACATTCATACCTTCCTAAGCTTGCACAACCAGGGCAAGAGCTGCAGTTGAGGTCTTGACCTCAGTTACTTAAGCCCCTTTCTCCCAGGAGCGTTCATCACTTTAATCACAGAGTCCTAAATAATCAGTGGGTAGCCTGTAATTAGGGGGTTGTGTCTTGGACTCCTGCAGCCTGCTCCTGGTGTGCTGAGCGCTGCGTATTTTGATTTCCCGTTCCCCCAAAGGATGTTTGATCTCAGCTTTACACTTTAGAAAATTAAGAAGGGTACGGCACCTCAGTCCCCTGGCAATCTTCCTGCTTTCAGTGGTAGGTGCCTTGCTTTTCCTAAGTATCGCAGCGCTGCAGCAATTGACACACTTGATTTAAGAGTTTGATTTATAGACTGATACTCGGGCTGAAAGTCAGCAGTTCCAGGGCTGCGTAAATCAGCCTGTCTCTGGGACTAATACTTCCTTATTTATAATTTCGACAGGAGATGGAATTCTTTCTCGATTCTTTACATTTCTTTCAGATGTAATCGACCACCCTGTCCTTTGGTTTAAAGCTATGTGGCTTTGCCACAAATAGAGGGAGGGGAAAGTAAGCCGAGTCCAGGAATTGCTGTGCTATAAAAGCTCCATATTGTATGCTCTTGGACTTTGCTTTCTCCCAGCTTCCTTCAAGCCCACACAAGAGATGGACTTGAGGTTTTTTGGCTTTCTTCCCCTCCCCCCCTCCCTCCATACATACGCTGACCTTTTAGAAAAATAAATAAAAGATAAAGAAGGACCTGGAATGTTGCAGAATGTGTGTACATTTTGCTCTCTGTTGTTTTCTGCTGGGATTAGTTGTTTACAATGGGGGAGAGAGGGAGGGCAGAGGAAGGGAGGTCTGTGGCCTTAACTGAAATTAGTGGCATTTCAGAGTGATCTTGTTAGGTGGTCTGCAGTTTAAAGACCTAAATCCTTGTAATCCCCCCATGCCTCCTTGGCCACTACTCCTTTTGCTCTTGTTCTCTCGCTTTCAAAAAAAACCCACCCCAAAGTCAGCCTCTCTGTCTCTCAGATGCAGGCGCGTACCGTACACGCATGCACAGACACAGACGTCCACGCACACTCTCTCTCATGTGCTTCCATTCGCACGTTGTACCTGTATAACAAATTAATGTCTTAGCTACATCTGTTCCCACTACAGGACTGGGCTTGTAAAATGCTCTCTCTAGAATGCAGACGCACACCGAATATTTTTATTTATTTTCTGAAAAACACCCAGCTGCCAGACTTTCAGTTTGTGATTACACTTAAAACAAATTCAAATTGAAATTTCAGCCATAAATCAAATGCCCCAAATTAGTTCCTCTTGTGGGTTTGAACATGCTCTTTGGATTTTAAGGTCAGAAGATATCCGTTTTCACCGTGCTGAAAAGTTTAAAAATACACTACATTTTCGGGGAAAAAAAATAAATATGGTTTGAATTATAAAGCCGTACATCAAATGTGTGCGTATGCGCACACACAACAGTCTTGATGAAGCTGGATGCTGTCAGAGCACCTTTGAGGACTAATAGCACCTAATTGTTAAGCAAGGCAGGAACCGTGATGGCTGTTCCGCCAGGGAGAATAGAGCAGAGTGTCCTGAGATGTGATATTTACCCTGTAAGAGAATAAAAGTTTATTCCTTACTCTTCAACTTAAAAAAATAGTAAAAATTAAATAAACACACAAAATACTTCTCTTGGCAGGCTTTATAACTTACTTCTTTTTTTAAAAAAAAAAGCATTTACAAGTGGTTTCAAAATGGCTGTGTTACATCTGTCAGCGGGTGAAGGGAACACCCACAAATTGTGTTTTTATCTCTTGAAGTTTTGTTCCACTTGAGCAATAAAAGCCGGATTCGCTGCTGGTTTGTGTGATTGGGGTAATCTGAGCATTGAGTATGGTTTTAAAACTTCTGCAGTTGGTTGGGCTTGTAAGTTTTTAAAAAACTCCTGGAGTGCTGGAGCTCTTGAGTTTTGTTTTACCCTGGCACCGGGTAAGGGCTGGTTTGCAAGCACCTGGCACAGACAAGTTCATCTTGGTTCCCTGGCCTGTCCCTCCCAACAAATGGTTTGGCAGGAACCCCCCTTATCTTTGATGTTAATGTCATCAGCAGTTTCTTGGTTACAACACTTTTCTTTCTCCAGGAGGGGAAAAACTATCCCCGAGTAGGCTCTGAACACACATCCAGTGTTCTCCAGACCGACAGCTTCAATCCCCTCTCTGCTGGGGAATATCCTCCTGTGTGAGGATAACACCCAGAGGTGTAGTGTATTCACGGCTGCTCTCGTGTTCAGAAGAAGTGATAGATGGTGGGAACCTAAAGGTTTGCAGGGGAAAGCTCTCAGCTGACTGGCTCGAAGTGATGGAGGAGGAGGTGTTTTGGAGCGTGCGTTTTGGATGGAAGCCATTCCAGCGGGAAACGAGCAGCCTCTCCCATCGCCTTCCCTAGTCCTGTTGAAAGCCAAGTCAGGATGGCAGCGGTGGGCCAGTCCCCCACCCATTCTTTCCCTGGCCTGGCTGCAAACACAGAGTGGCTCTCGCTCTCAGCAACCGCTGTTGAGCAGGGTGATGGCCTGAGCCACTGGCAGCCACACAGAGCTATTGGGAAGGAAGCGGATCGTGACAGTGCGAGAGCAAAGGCAGGCGGGGGTCTGCTGTGTATCTTTGCCGCTTTTTATCTTATTAACATGTTAGTAAAAACCTTGCCAAGGCAACCTGAGCTGGGTACTTGTAGCATAATTGCTCACGTTGCCTCCTTATAGGTCAGAGGAGGGGGAGTTAAAGGGAGTTAAAGGAATAATTGTTCAGAGGGGACAGTCTGTTCAAGGGGGGTCGTAACTGCTAACCACTGCGGCTGAGGTCCAGTTTTATTGCTTTTACTCCTGCAGAATTAATGCCGGTTTTTGTGGGGCAGATGGTTTCTGCTCTGGCTCACACAAGCGACAGAATTGTAATAAGTTTAATGGTAAATTCTGTATACTAGATAATAGGGATGTGTGAGCTGGAAAAAAATACTAGGAATTAATTTTAGGATCCGGCAGTCTGGGGTGAGGATTGGTGTTTCTCTCTTCTCCTGAGGACCACAGCCAGACAGCTCTCCATTCAGTACAGAGCTGAGGCACAGGGCTTTGACCCGATACCAAAAAAAATGCTGTTGGTTCAAACTCGAGGGTTAACAATTCTGTCCACGAGGCAGCCCTATGGTGCGTTGCCCCTGTGTTTCACTAGTGCAATGAGTAATGGTGACGTGGGGGACCAAGGCAGGGAAATGGCTGCAGGTCATTAAACTGTGGAACCCACCATGTAGAAAGTCACTGAAGCCAAAAACTTCAGACAGAGATCGGCTGTTCAACTGAGGATAGCAAGAATATCCACAATTTTTGTAATTAATATTAGCAGAAATATTTGGGAGAAGACATGAAATGCCATGGTTCACAGTAGGATCAGTATAGGGGCCCAGATACCTGCATCTCTCTGGGGTTATATATCTCGCTTATACCTTGCTCCCTTGCTATTTGATGCTCAAAACCATCAAATCAGATGGTTTTGATGTGTGTTACTCTTATTATTTTTAGATGCTTTGTGCATTTAGATGCTTTGTGTGATCCCTTTTTGTGAACCCATTCTGACAGCTGGCGTTTCAGTTTTTTCAATAACCGGCTGTGAGGATCAGGAGAAGAATAGTGGAATTTTTGAGAAAAGTGCAGAACTGAAGCTACTTACAAGGTCATGTCACAGGCTCATTAGATATTCCAATGGATACCTTTGGTTTGTACCTGTCATTTTAAATCACTTTCTTGCTTTACTTTGTGTTTATGTTGTAGGTGCTGTCTTCAGGGCAGTGTTATTTGTCATAACGCTGTGATAGAGAAGGGTGCAGACATCAAAGACTGTTTGATTGGAAGCGATCAAAAGCTGGAAACAAAAGGTAAGTAGAGGAGCTGTATTTACAGCGCATTTGTAATCTCTTTCTTCCTCGAGATTTTACTCCTCCTTCTTCACGAAATGGCAGTTCTACAGTGTGGTGTCCTATAATATTAGGATTTGTTTTTCATGGAAAGTACAGCTTCTTGGCATAAGAATAGTTCAGGGACTTGCTCCTCTGAAGTTGGCAGAAAAGCTCTGTTGTTGTTGTTATAAAGAACAAGATTGGGTGCTGAGACAGTCTTTTCCCAGAGACCACAATTAGATCAGCCTGGAGTTGTCCTCAGCAGAAGGAACTGTTATTTTGACTAGTAATCTTGGTCAGCATCAGGGGCGATGCAAATTATTGATTACACAGACATCCTTCTTTTTACAAAGATGCCACCAACCCGCAGTGCCAGCATGGTCCCATTTCCCTTGCTCCAAGCAAAAGCTTGACGTGGAATATCACACTATGAGCTGCTGCTCTGTACTGAATACAAGGGCAGCTACGTTCAGATCTGCTTTACTGCTATGAAATGGTATTTTGGGGCTTCAGAGGCGTTACGAATATGTGGCCCTCATTTGGGCAAAGTGAAGCCATCCAGTGGAAGTGTGCGTGGCGAGGGCTCGGTGGTCACCGCCTGAGTGGAACTGTTGATTTCCTGCCCTAAGAGATAATGGGCAGGAAATGGCTGTCTCAGTGACTGCATCCCAAGCAGAGGGCTTTTTAATGAATATTTATGGTTGGGGTTTGGCAGATCCCTGCTCTAGGGTGTGGGCTGAGGACAGAAGTGAGTTCCTTTGCAGGCTTCATGTGAAGTTACTTAGATCAGGATTTGTTTGCTCTCTTTGTCTTTACGGGTGGATTCCCAATTATAAGTGTCTCGACACAGAACAGGGTTTACACTTAACGTAGTATAGCGTAACCTATTGTCAGCTATGCATATGACAAATTTTCATTTAAATTGAAACTGGAAGTAAAAAAGAATCATGAAAACCAAGTATTGACCTTGCAGCTGCAAGTCTTGGATACCGTAGGAAACACCCAGTGAGTGTTTTGGTCTTGGTCCCTGTACAGCAGAGCCTGTGCCTGCTCGTGGCTTTGCCCATCACATCAGCCTGAAACAGAGGCCCTTGAGGGTCCATTGTCCCCTATCACTGAAAATTTGCCCTATTCATGATGCTCCATCTGTGTCCTCCTCTGAGCATAAAGTCATAGAATCATTTAGGTTGGAAAAGGCCTTTAAGATCATCGAGTCCAATTGCTAACCTAACACTGCCAAGTCTACCACTAAACCATGTCCCTGAGTGCCACATCCACACGTCTGCATGAATCACTAAGAGAGCTGACTCAGGCCACATTTAGTTGTTAACCTGCATTGTGAACTACAAGGAGACGGGGTGTAGATTTAGCTAATATTTGAGGAAATGGGAATATGTTGGATTTCTTCAGTAGATTATTTCAAACAGAAATATCATCCTTTGACCTCGCTCACATCTGCTTCAGTAGTCTCTTCCAGGCTGCAGATCCTAGTCTGGTTGATTTTAGTATGGAAACTGTTCCTTCTTCTTGATTGTCCTTGTCATCCTTGTCTGAATATTTTTCAGGGTCTGTAGATGTATTTGCAGAGAGAGTAATAGAGCTGTAACCCAGGGTTCATTTACCTATTGTTGTACTGCTCACCTCTCCAAAGCTTAAACCCACTTGTTAATGAGTCTGTGGGCTCTCTAGTTAAACTGTTCAGAAACGTATGATTGACGTTAGCAAAGACACGTTCAGGTAGATTATGAATACACCATTATGCTGAGCAAGAAAAAACAATAAAGCCTCAGTTCATTTCCCTGCCTCAGTTTCCTAACCATCCTGGAATTTCTTTGGGCTGGGGTCAGGTTCTCCTCGGTGGTCTGGGATCTGTCTGCGAAGTTCATGACTTATTTCCTGAACTGTGGAGTCTTTCCAGCCCAGCATGTCTCTTCTGACCTTGGCTGGTCCCATAGTAAACTGGGCCCTCTCTTTTTTGCTGTGAAAGCATGCCATGACTTCCTTTCCCCTGCCCAAGACTTCCTGTACCTTGTGCCAAGCTTTTGGTGTGGCCCTGTAAGTCTGTTTCCATATTCCCCCTTTCATCAAGACTTTGGCTGTGTTGTTCTGTTTGGTAACTTTTCCTTCTTCAAACTCGAGCCTCCCCAGCCAGGTTAGAAAAAAAACTAGTTCTCTTGGGTTAGAGCCACCTTTTGTTGCTGATCACACTTCAGCAGACGTAAGCGGTAGCAGCTGGCTGTTGACCCTCGTCTGGGAGTTACACGCTAGAAACCTCCTCAGCAAAGCTGCATACACCTTCCCAGAAATATTAAAAAAATATATATATGTAAAAATACAGCAGTCCCTTATTCCAAAGCATCAGCCAGGGTTCATCAAAGGTAGAAATATCCCTGCATCATCCTACACAGCCCCACGCAGATCCCACAGTTGACTTTGCTGCAGAACTGGCCGCGTGCTCCCTGCTCTGCTGTATGTGTCCTGGCCACGCTGCCCAGGCAGCTCGGATACAGGAACCCTTTGAGCCAGTGGTGCACTGACCTCCTTTCATAATATGAACTCCAGCCCCATGCAAGGAGGACATGGCAGGAGAACAGCTACCACAAATGATAGGCAAACGTAACTCAAACCAGCTCTCATCCTTTTCCTTCTGCGGAAGAATATGGGCATATTTAGGGTGGTCCAAATGGTACAGCTGGGAGTAATGGGATTGAATTAAACACAATTTAGGCTGGCTATCTGGAACGTTTTCCTAACGATGTGGTCTGGTAGGTTGTGGGATAATCTCCCTGGGGACATGGTGGGAGACCTCATCACTTAATAATGGGCTTGGCAAAGCTCTGGACACCTAAATAGAGGGAACGCTCCAGCACCAGTTACTGGGGTAGATCAGATGCAGCCTAGTACTTTCAAAGTGAAAAGAAAATTAGAGACACAGGAGGGGACAGGTAACTGTCAGCAATGATGTCCCAGTCCTGCGTTGGCTTCAGCCCTATCACAGCACTGGCCAGAGATGGTACTTTTAAGTGCCTCTGTTAAAATCAAGGTATGGAGCTTTATTAAACTTCTGAATTTGCAGGCCATGCCTCCTGAGAGCCATACCATTCTCTTCCTACTGCTTTTATTACCATGCTTAGGAAGCATCCACTTTCTTTCCTCTTTGATACTTTAATTTAAGGAATTTGCTAGCAGAGAATTAACAGATGGGCTTTATGAAAGCTACCTCATGCAGGTAGCGGTTTTAAAAACATGTTGGTACCTAAGAAAAAGGAGGTAATTATTAAAGGGATAGGAAATGGCAGGCAGCAGTTCTGAAAGAACTTAATTGCACAGAGCATTCAATCACTGTTTTGAAGACAGTTATTAGGATCATGCTCCAGCCTTTTTGATGAACCTATTTTTAAAGAGGAGCTCAAAAGCAGCTTGTACTCATTGAAGTAGGACTAGAGAGAGGGAGTGCTGGTGATGGGCCAGTTGAGGAGTCAGATGAGCCCTAGAGTCAGTGAGTACAGTTCCCAAAGGAGTCTCTAGGCCAGATTCAGCAGGGAGTACTTTATACATCTGGTATAGGTTAGCCAGGAAGAGGCATATATAGTAAAGCAGCCTAACCTTTCCTCAAAGCAACACTAAGAACAGAGATGGTAAAGACACACAGATAGGATAGCACTAGGAAAATTGACATGAAACTCACTACCTTATCCCTCACCTTCATCGCTGTTGTCCTTGGGGCAGGGATGTTTTATGTGCATTGGGTATTAAGGAGCCGATGTCATTTGGGGACAGCTTGAGTCATTGCACACCCAAAAACTGCATTACAGCAGTGTTGTTGCCACAAAGTGTACGTTTACAAAGGGGAAAACATACCAGCAGCCAGGATGCTGATGTAATCTTTGCTTGGTATCCTGGTACATACTTGTTAGTAGCATTATCTCTGCGACCAGGCTGCAGACTAAGACTTCAGTGTGCTTGTTCCTGTACAGCTTTTATGCCACAGTATATTTTTATATTCCTTGGTGCTCTGACACAGTCAACACCCAGAATGAGTAGTGCTTGCTGAATGTGGGGGTTTTCCATATTCCTCATTTTCCTGTCTTTTATCAGTTTGTGTCTGAGAGCTTAGTTACTGTACACTATACAAGTGACAAAATCCCTCCTTTCAATGGCCTTTCTGCAACAGTTGTCACCTTAATGTTTCACAACTGTTAACTACCTTGTTTTCACCTCCTCCGTATGAACATGGCTGTTTTTTCCTCCTATTCTATAGAGACGTGAGACAGGGAGATTCTGATCATCTGCCCATTCGTTTGGACCGGCCAGCTTAAGTGCTGAAGCTGCATGTTACATGTGGCATTTCCTAGCTGTTAGAGACTTGACATTTTAGCCTTAACATTTCTCCTTAACATGGGAGTGGGAGTTCAGCCCACTAAAAAAAAAAGCAGTGTTATTATATGGGATCATGCTGGCCTTTGCATGGATCATTAGCAGTGTCAGAAACTTGAACTCCATTGTACAGCTTCTGCTGCTCCAGCTGATAGGTGCATCATCTTCCTTAAGTGGAGCTGAATCTGGAGTGGGACAAGAGACTCTTTTCCAGGAGGTTTCACAGATACCCATGAGCATCAGCAGCCCCAAGATCCACGCCGGGTGCTGGGGGGGAGAAGTTACCATAGGCTTTACTGCTCCTGCCCCCAGCATCAGCCATTGGGTCCCAACTCCACCATCTATGTCCTACCTGATCCTGACTCCTCCTTCACAGCTCCCTGCTATGGCTTTGTCCCAGGACCAATCTCATCCCATTCCCAGCCTTCTCTTTGTTTTTTCCTCTAGTCTTTCTCCCATGGAGATTCTCATTTTTCTGTCTTACTTATTCCCAGACACCCACCTGACTCCTCCTCTGGTCTGACTGTAGCTGCTATTTCCAGTCCCTTTGCCTAACAGTCCCATGCTCCATTTCCCATCTGGCACTCGCCCCCTGACTGCTT